GTGATACAGTTGGACACAGCACATCAATACTGCTAGCTTACTGTCACGGTTCAGCCAACGAGGATGCATTTATGTTTACATCCAGCGCTGTCATGAGCATGAACCTTTCCTCCATGAGTAGATGCACGCTTCCTTCTTTGCAGTGATACAGTTGGCAGGTGTAGAAAGAAAATAGTTTCTACATGAAACTGCTCACAATAAGGCCTGTGGATTATCCTGAGTAACCAGGTCATGATTTCTGGAAAGAGACGTTGATGCTGAGTTTTTCTTTTTTTTTTTTTTTTTCAGGCACTTTAAGCACCCCAAACCAAATGCCCATCTAGTCCATGATATTAGAGAGAAGGCAGACATCACTACAGCTGATATCTCCAACACTCTGCAACTCACACCAAAACAATCTAGACTGATAAGTAGCACTACAGGTAAGAGGAAAAATATGTATTTTTGATTTGGGGATGAACGGTCCCTTTAAAATGTTTTGGCGTTTTTTTTTTCAGTTTCCATGACTACTTGTTCGGTCTTAAGGAGAGTTAAAAAGGCAAGGGGTCAAATGGCATGTGACCAATCCCACAACATTCATACATGTCCAGTTTCTATGTGATTCAACCCCGTCTGACCAGAATCTATGACTCACTTTACTAGAAACTGACATGACAGTTTACAAACCGAGAGGATTTCCATGTGGAATTTACTGTGTGGAACGTCTGACACTGAAATTAAAGTCATGGCACGTCCACACTCACAGGATTTGTTAAGACACTGGTCTTTTTGTTCGGAGGCCAGTTCTCGCAGTTCCGAACAGTCTGCTAATGGCCTTGTGGACCATCTGCGCCGTTAACACCACAGAGTGCTTTTTGTTCTTAAAGGAAGTGATGCAGTAGACCCCTTTCTCTGGAGTGATCGGGGTGGGAGAGGCATGACAGCAGAGGGGCAGCATGTGAAGCACTCGGTGCTGTCCTCAGGCACTGGCATGTCACTCATCACCATGGCAGCAGCCCACAGATGATGTCATCTTGGGTGTCAAGACTTCAGAGGAGAAGGAATTTGTGGGTATGTGTTGTGTGTGAATGTACATGTATTGTTCCGTGTGTACTAGGCTGATGACTGATAACTGAACAAGTGATGGACTAATTGAACGAGCTTTGTTAGTTGTTAAATGTTACAATAGATTTGCCTATGAGTCTTCCTTGTTCATGCGCCTTCAAAGACAAGCATCAGTGCAAAGAGGAAGCTTAAAAGTGGCGTTACAATAGCAGCGTGTTACTTCCCTGAACTTGTTGCCTTTTGTGACGTTTTGGCAGTCTGGAAAACTATTAAGAATGTACGTACGTACGTACTTCATTCAGTGTCAACAAACATCGCTGTTAGGAAGAAATCTGTCTTCTTTATCTACAGTACGACTAACAACAATACTCCAACAAAAGGAACTTGACAGTTGACTCACCGCAAACTCCCCTGCAATGCCATTCGGTGCCTGCTCATCCACAGCCTCCTGTCTCTCCAGCTGGGCCAGCAAGCTCCTCAGTATCCAGGCCTGCTGCTCCATGGCTGGCTGTACACTGCCTGGGATAGTGCACCTTTCACAGGCATGTCAGGACACAAAGGTCCTCATCCAGGGGTCATGGATTAGGGTCGCCGAGGCTTGAGTTCAGGGCTGTGGCGCCTCTGCTGCTGCTGCTACACAGAGCACTTCTCTATTGCAACTGTCACATCAAGGAACTATTGTGAGGGAACGCGTGAACTGTCTTAGAGGAAGCAAGAGTAAGCTAACAGGTTCTGTGGTCAGATTAAAAATACTGCCGCGCCCCCTGGGTGTCTCTCACTGGGTCCTAAAGTTACCCGGGTGTTTCATTGCATGACATTGCTGCAGAGGGACGGGAAGGGAGACACCCACTAACAGTGTGGGCCACGCATTTATGCATATAAAGTTGCACCAACAACTGTTGCTACCCGAAGTCAGAGTGCGAGCAGGCAGTCTAGCCTGTTGGACAACATTCAGGGCACACAAGAGGGGAGGAGGAGGGATGTGGGTAGGGATGGAGGCAGCGACAGAGGGAGTGGTGAAGACAGAGGGTGTCTGAGAATCCTGAAAAGCCTGATGTTCTGATGAGAGGGGAATTAACCCAGTCAACTGTCTGGGTCTTCATTTATGCCTTCTGTATCTCCACATATGCCATTTGTTTTGGTAAACCACTGCACAGTATTTGAGATTAATTACCAGTAACCTCTGCCATTTCTTCTAAAACTTATGTAATTTGTTTAGTGGGTGAGCAGCTTCAAATTTGAGTTAGAAGGCTTTAAAGAGCAATGGGAGGAGCTCTGTTTCAAGGAACTGTGGGCATTAAGTCATCCATACGAGACTTCCCTTTATGACATAAAACAAGCTGTATGCGAATACAAGTATGGATAAAAATAATGAAACATATATGTAAAGTATATCTTACATAGCTAGTACCATGATATAAAGATGAAAACATCAGAGTGATAAGGAAAGCGTACTGAGAACAGGCTTACCAGAAAAGCTGACATGCAGTTCATATGAGAGGAGGTAGCCTACTGTGCCTTAGTTCATATGAAGTAAACAATGTATTGCTCACTGTACTCAGCAGGTGTTACTCTGCATCAGTAGCATGGCGACATCTAGTGGCCTTGTGATAAACTTACACAATGAGATATTCTGACAAGGCTGTATTTACACAGGGGGTTGTGGAATTTTATTGTTAAAAGCATCATCAGACAGATTCAAGTCTGAAACTACAAATTGAGACAAATTGGCTTCCTGGTTCAGGAGTCAACAGGCAGAGTGGTGAAGGATGTCAGGAAACTACCGACACCTGTGTAAACTGGGTCACAGCCTATTTAAGTGACTTCATCTCTAATGCCTCTCTTCTCTCCCCCTCCCACCAGCTGGTTTGGTTAACGATTTTTTTTTTTTTTTTACTTTCACTCATCACACACTAAACACACACTGCTGGATTCATTACTGACCTGTACAACACAATTATTAATATTAAATCAACTATAAACTTACTTTGTTTACAGCTTATTTCATGTGTAGCGACAGAACCAGGTTGTTTTTAACGAGAGGTCAGGACATTTCCAGCCATGTAACCGAATTTTTTTTTAACGAGACATAGGGGGATTTTCAGCTGTGTTTGTAGTTAGAAAAGCAGGTATTTTTTAACAAGAGGTCCGGACATTTCCAGTTGTGTTTGTGCGGCAAAAGTGGGTATTTTTCAAAGAGAGGTTGGGACATTGTCAGCCATGTTTTTTGCAACTAAAGCAGATGTTTTTTACCAAGAGGTCGTGACATTTCCAGCCATGTTTGAAGCGACAAAAGCTGGTATTTTTTAATGAGAGGTTGGGACATTTTTAGCGATGTTCGTCGTAACAAATGGAGTGAATTTTTAATGAGAGGTCGGGACATTGTCAGTCACATTTGTTGCAACTTAAGTGGAGATTTTTTTACCGAAAGGTTGGGACATTTCCAGCAGTGTTTGTAGTGACAAAAATGGGTATTTTTTAACAAGGGATCTGGACATCAGGACATTTCCAGTTGTGTTTGTGCGACAAAAGTGGGTATTTTTCAACGAGAGGTTGGGACATTGTCAGCCATGTTTTTTTACAACTAAAGCAGATATTTTTTACCAAGAGGTTGGTACATTTTCAGTTGTGTTTCTAGCAACAAAGACAGGTATTTTTTAACGAGAGGCAGGGACATTTTTAGCCATGTTCTCTAGCAACCAATCCAGGTATTTTTTAAATGAGAATTTTAGACATTTCTAGCCGTGTTTTTATCGACAAAAACGGATATTATTTAACAGAAATTCAGGACATTTCTAGCTAAAACTGGGTCATTTTTTCATGAGAGGTCTGTACATATCCAGCCATGTTTGTAGTGACAAAAGTGGCTTTTTTAAATAAGATGTTGGGACATTACCAGCTGTGTTTGCAGATACAAAAGTGGGTAATTCTTTATGAGAGTTCAGGACATAATCAGCTGTGTTTCTAAGAACAAGAGTGGGTATTTTTTTAATGAGGTTTTCATGTATAATTCTTCAGTTTTCGTCACCGACTTTAGGCCAGTTTGTGACAAAATATATTGAAGTGACTGAGTCAAATGAAGGTGCTATTATCTCAAAGGTCAAGGAACACATCAAACTACTATAATGTGTTGCCATATTAAAAATGCAGTGTACCCATATATGAAACTGAGGCTCTACATGCCTTAAGGGGCTTTTACAGGAACACATGAGAGTTATCTGAAATGTGGTCTATTCATGCAACAACTCATGTGTGTGTTCTGGGCATAGCAGCACTCAGAAGCATTTCTGCAACCCTCAAAGCACCTGCAGGAAGCTATGATCACCACAGTCCACCTCTATAGCTTCCTGTGTGTTTGGTAGTTGTTAAAATCTCACACTCTGACTTGAAACATCAAAATGAAAACATTGTGTTTGGTTTTGCTTTTTCATGGTGAGTAGCCTTGTATCAATTATCGTAACACTGTTTTTATTTATTATAAAATGTCTAAACTAATTTATGTACCTTTTGGGAAATGAAAAATAGATAACTGGAATAGATAACTGAAAAAAAACTAGATAGATAGATAGATAGATAGATGTGCATGATATTAAGATATGCTTATGACCATTTTATCGCATTACATTCTCACATCATGTAATAATTATTACTCCTTGTGTGAAATGTGTGTGATCTGCCTGCCCGACTTGTGGAAATTATTCACATGCACGGAAAGTATTTACAGTTGCAAACGTTATTTCGCTTTGATAATTTGAGTTTAAGTTTACATCAAGGTTTTTCTGTGACCTATTGTTGTTTTTGCATGTTATTACAAAGCTTACAATGTTAATATTAAAATTATTGTCAGGAAAAATGAAATGAAATAAATTAAAAATAAAGTTTAATATATTGTGAAATAACCTGATTTTTTTTTTTTTTTTTTTTTGCTGTAGCTATGAGCAATTTGATTCTGATTCACTGACTCAGATTTTTGTCTTCCAGCAAGTCTTCAGCTCCGATGTGATCGAAAGACCACAGCACATATTGGAGGTGAATTCATTCTTAAATGCAGCTATGACACAAACCGATTCCTGTTCAGTAAAAAGTACTGGTGCCAAGGGGACTCTAGAAGCACCTGTACGATTCTGGCAGATTCAGACAGCACAACTAAAAATACACACAGGTCTCAGGTAGTAGATCTAGGAAAAGGAGGGCTGTTTGTGAAAGTCACAGATCTCCAATTTGGCGACACTGGAGTGTACTGGGTTGGGATTGACAAAATATATGCTGACATCATGACTTCAGTTAACGTGGTCATCACTGAAGGTAAGAATAAAATATAATCACAGACTGCTTTTGCACGTTTGTGTCTGTATACTGTCAGGCTGAATTCAAATATATTGCTTTCTTCTTGTTCCCAGTTCCAGTATCTAAACCCAGTCTTTGGCCCCTGAGCTCTCTGGTGGACAGACAGACATGTTGGGGTCAGCCGGTGACAGTGCGCTGTGGCTGTAAAAGGGGCACTGGCGTTCATTACACATGGTACCAACACACACACCACAAGGACTTCCTGCTTCACAACTCATCAGACTTACACCTACGCTGTGGCACCTTGGACAAGGACAGCGATTATTACTGTATTGCCAGTAATGACATAAGCAGTCAGAGGAGTGATGTTCTCTCGGTGCAGGTTCTGATGCCTGCAGACAGCAGCTGTATCTATGTTGTTTGTGCGGAGGGTAAGAACGGATGTGATGTATTCTCTCCTATAAATATCAATGCAAGAATTAGGTCACACTTTATGTGAAGCCTGTGTTTTATAGATTCCTTTTAAATGCTCCATAACGCAGGCACAATTATTAATAAGAAATGTTATAAAGCATCATAGTATTGTTTTAAAGCATAACTTATTAGGAGTCAGATTAATTTCTGTAAGTAGTCTTGTGTAGCAGCACCGTGTCAGTACCAGACAAAGGTCTGGAATCACCATGTTACCATTCTGCTGTTGGGAAAAACACTCTGGCTTGTTTTTGATTCCCTGAACCAATCACAATCGTCCAATGTGAAGCAAAACCCAGGATTCAGAGATGGTGCCCTTGCAAAATAGTGTTAAGAGGAAGACACACAGTGACAGGGCTACCTGTTAGCATCACACAGCTGACATTATCGAGTTGGTGTGAGTTAGTTAGAACGTCTTTTTAGGTGGTGCTGCTGCTGTGTTAGCTTGTGCTAACCAGAATCTGTGAGGAGAGCGGCTCAGTTGACAGCAGCAACCGAAAGTTTGCTGATTCAGCAGAGAGTTGGAACGGTTCGAGATAAGACTCCCAGTGCAAAAAAAGACGTTTCACTGGAGACATTTCAAAGGAGGTGACAAATCAACTCTGTGTCAGAAAACAGGTCAACATTGGGCATGAGAGTCCTGCAAGACGGAGTCTGGGCTTTTCCTGTGTGTGTTCACAAGTAGTTTTATGCGTTGGAGATATTTACAAGAAGTTGGTGAAGCTTCTCAGAAATCCAGGTCATGGTAATCTTAAGTAATATATTGTAGGCTACCAGACTTGAGTTTCTTTCTCTCTTTCTCTCTTCCTGTCTGCCTGTTACCATTTTAGAGGTGAAACATCTTCAAGAAACTCTATTGAGTCCAGCTGCCTTTGAGCTAGCACTCAAGATCTTTACCACAATTCATCGAAAGAACAAAGCAGCCAGGCCGTATTGCATGATCCAAATCTTCGTCAAAACTTGTCATTTTCAGATTTGTTAGCTTGGAGATTGTTTCGGTTGTTTCCCTTAGCGAGGGGGATTTTAAAAATGGTAACAGACAGATAGTCGAAGGAAGGGAAAATGGCGGCCTAAATAGTCAGCCAATGGCAGACCTATAGCCACAGCTCCAGTAAGTCAGACTGTACGGTAAGTACTTATACAGCAAAAAGACATCAGATATTACAAGTCTACTTCACAAAAAAGTCTGACTATATCTTATAATTGCTTTGCTTTGACTGTGTGTGAAAGTTCACTATCATTAATTTGCCTTCTACAAGCACAATGAATGGTGAGTGTGGTTAAAGTATGTTGTACTGCTTTCATGTCAGCTCTCTGTGGGTTTCAAGTATTTCTATAAGCTGTTACAAGTACAGTATGTACAACCATTTTGTAAGATTCGTGTCATTCTGAATGCAAATCTTGTTGGGAGAACATTTTGTCACTTGTTTACAGTTTTTACTGTACGATTACAAAGATCAAGGCTAAACAAAATCGCATAACTTTATGGTTTCATTTTTGCTGTGGAAGGCTTTATACAGTATAAATGGAGGATAGAAGTAAACATGAAACCAAGCTAAAAGTATAACGTCTGTCTGTGTTTGTCCCAGTGAATGAAACATTCTCAGTCAGTTTTGCACTGCAAGTAAAGCTGCGGCTCCGTTTCCTCTTTGCCAATACACTTTTGACACTTCTCCTTTTTCAGACGGTTCTGACGTCAGAGTCAACACATGGTGATTGTTGCTGCCTGAATACACCCTCAATTCACTTATGGTTTAAGATTACTATCATGAAGTTATATTGAAAAGCCTTAACCACACTCCCAGTCCGTTCAAGGCAGAAAAAGACCTTATAAGCTTGAATGCAAAATGAGTGATTGTAATAACTGATATAGATTGTTTTTTCAAATGACTGTAGTTGTATATTGTACTGAGGCCCTTGTGTGTATGATTTGACTATGACCTGTGACACATTATACATTGCACCCCTCAGTGGGATTGTCTCCAGGGCTGCTTCAGCTATAGGGCAAGTTAGATTTAAAACTTTTTGAATGCCACTCAGAGTGAAATTTAAGATCAATCAATAATCAGATCTAAAGAAAACCAAACATGATCTCACATTAATTACTGAGGGTTAGGGACAATGTTTCACAAATGACTTTTAAATATGTGGCATTTTTAGGCAGGTTTTCTGGGTGACACACTCTGCTTGTGGGATTCCACTGCCCTGACTTTCTTTGCGCTGAGTTAGAAAAACGTTTTGCATAAAGTCCATTGAACCTTGTTTGTGTTGCCTGTAGCGGGTTTGGCCATGACACCAAATTTTGATGCACATTTCCATGTTGGACAGTGTGCAGTGACAGCTAGCCACACACAATGGATGCACTGCTCTGAGCATCCCGGCTGGAAACAAAATATGATTATTGTTGGTTCCGCTGTCCTGATCTGTGTGACGTTAATGTGTGAGGCATTTGCTAAGTTATTTTTAAAAGACAGAAGTTACCAATTATTTTGAGATTTTACAGAGCAAGATCAGAAAAAATAAATGAAAATCCAATGCACCATGTCTTAGCATTTGTTAATTTTTTTGAAAAATTGATTTAAGACATTTTAATACCAATTAAGGTCTTATATTTAAATTAATTAATTAAATGTAGCACAGTGGTGCATTGTCGCCTCACAGCAAGAGGGTTCCCGGTTCAAACCCCAGGGTTGGGGAGCCCCTCTGTGCAGAGTTTGCATGTTCTCCCTGTGTCAGCATGGGTTTTCTCCAGGTACTCCAGCTTCTTCCCACAGTCCAAAGACATGCAGGTTAATTGGTGACTCTAAATTGTCCGTAGGTGTGAATGTGAGTGTAAATGGCTGTCTCAGCCCTGTGATAGTCTGGTGACCTGTCCAGGGTGTACCCTGCCTCTCACCCAATGTCAGCTGGGATAGGCTCCAGCAAACCCATGACTCCTAACAGGATAAACTGTTATGGAAAATGAATGAATGAATTCAATGTCTCCTTAAAGTCTTACAGATCCCTGGGAACCCTTGTCTCATTTTTCTTTTGCCATCAGTTATTTTAAAGATCGAAATTGTAATGAACATCCTACACAGAGCTTTAAATAGGAAGATATAATACATTATAAACATGGGCTTTATAGAATGAACTCATAGGTTCTGATTTGTTTTGAGGCTGTTGTGAAATCCTTATTGCACAAAGTACAAGCTCATAAAAGAAATGCCATCATAATGTCTTTCTTTTTAATCATCAGGCCAACCCGTTTATGACTGCGCTGACAGAATGAGCACCACCACGGCCACAACTCCAGCTCTGACGACCTGCCAAGCTACTGTAAAAATCCAATCTGACGCAACCAACTGGTCACTTCCAGTCAATGACACGGAACAAGATCTGTTTTTCAGCAGGTTGGATTCATTCATCCATAACTCCTAAAATGGATCCACAAAGTGTTTGTTGTCTGAAAACTAGTCACTGATCAAATCTTTGTTTTTCAGGGCATGGACAGGAGTGCCATTCTGGTATATGCTGCTGCGCTGGGCTTCTTTTGCATCCTTACTGATATTTCTGTGCATAGTACTCAAATGTACAAAAGTGAGACACAAACGTGCCAAGAGGAGGAGGAGGAGGAGGAGGGCTTGTGTGAGGCGAATGCCCCATATGGTTAACTGACCTGCTTTTACAGTGGTAGTTCTTTGGAAGCCATATCAGCACCTGTGACATTGCTTTGTGGTTTTATTGTTGGCCAAGGTTCTTTGATAGCACGTGGTGAGGACGTCAGCGTTTTTATCAGAGTGTCTCATTGTAGCGTTTATCAAACCACTGTAATGTATTATAAATGATAGCTTTTCAATGCCACCACCAAAACACACACACACACACACACACACACACACAATCATTTCCATTTAATATGTTTAAAGAGGAATGATCTGTGTCTATGTTTACTCAAATAACACTAGAATAATATTTGTCATACATTATATTAAAATGAAATAGTTTTAATTTAAAAAATAAACCTTCACAATGCCAGCTGGAAGAACTGACTCTGTGAGCGTTCCTAATGTGTTAGAATGTGAATTGATTTTTATCAGATCAAGCAAAATTAGAGTGTTTATTTTAATTCTATTCTCTCTGTAAACAGGTAATAGCATCCAGCATTAGGACATGGGGCATGTTTTAGGGCCATTGGTAGATAATGAGACAATGGGCCCCTTCTTCTGTATACAGAAAGAGTTAGAAACACAGACTTTGTGGTTGCTTAGCCTCTTTTTGTTGTTGTTTTGCGTCTCTTTGTAGTTGTTCCACATCTGTGTTGTTCTGTGTGTCTTTTATTTTTTGTCGTATTTTGTGTTTTTGTGTCTCTTTGTCGCTTTTTTGTGTCTCTTTGTAGTTTTATGGGTTTTTTTTTGTGGTCATTATTAGTCTTTTGTAGCCATTTTGAATCTCTCTGTAGTCATATTGTGTCTCTTGTTGTTTTGCCGCTCTTTATAGTCATTGTGAGTCTCTTTGTGTCTCTTTGCAACTGTTGTACATCTCCTTGTTTTTGGCCCTTTGTGGACTTTTTATGTCTCTTTGTAGTCATGTTAAACCTCCTAGTGGTCATTTTTTGTCTCTTTGTGGTTGTTTTGCCTCTTTTCATGTCATTGTGAGTCTCTGTGACTCTTTGCAGCTGTTTTACATCTCTTTGTTGTCATTTTTGCTCTTTGCGGACTTTTTGTGTGTCTTTAGAGGTGTTTTATGTTTCTGTAATCATTTTGAATCTCTTTATAGTTATTTTGTGTCCCTGTGGTGGTTTCTTCCCATTTCATAGTCATTGTGAGTCTCTTTATGTTTCTTTGCAGCTGTTTTACGTCTCTTTATAGTCATTTGAGGCTCTTTGTGGTTGTTTTGTGTCTCTTTGTAGACATTGTATACCTCTTTGCTGCCTTTTTTGTCTCTTTGTGGTTGTTGTCCTATTTTCATAGTCATGAGTCTTTGTGTCTTTGCAGCTGTTTTGCACCTCTTTGTTGTTGTTTTGTGTCTCATTGTGGTCTTTTTGTGTTTCTTTCTAGATGTTTGTCTCTGCTTTTGTTTAGCCCCTTTTTGTAGTTGTTTTGTGTCTCTTGCGGTCATTTTTTGTTCTTTGTGGTTGTTATGCCTCTTTTCTTAGTTGTTGTGAGTCTCTTTGTGTCTCTGCAGCTGTTTTATATCTCTCTGTTGTCATTTTTGGCCCTTTGTGGACAGTTGGTGCCTCTTCGTAGTTTTATGGGTTTTTTTGTGGTCATTTTAGTCTTTTGTAGTCATTTGGAATCTCTTTATAGCCATTTTGTGTCTCTGTGGTTATTTTGTCTCTTTCCATAGTCAGTGTGAGTCTCTTTGTGTCTCTTTGCAGCTGTTTTACATCTCTTTGTTGTCATTTTTGCTCTTTGTGGACTTTTTGTGTGTCTTTGTGGTTTGTGAAAGTTTTTTGTGGTCATTTTTAGTCTTGTAGTCATTTTAAATCTCTTTATAGTCACGTTGTCTCTAGTTGTATTGTGTCTCGTTATGTCTTTTGTAGTCATTTTATGTTTCTTTTTGGTCATTTTTTTGTCTCTTTGTGGTTGTTTTGCCACTTTACATGGTCATTGTGAGTCTCTTTGTGTCTCTTTGCAGCTGTTTTACATCTCTTTGTAGTAATTTTGCATCTTTTGTATTCATTTTGGGTCTTTTGTATTCATTTTGAATTTCTTTGTAGTTACTTTGCATCTATTTATAGTCACGTTGAGTCTCTTTGAGGTTGTTTTGCCCATTTTGTAGTTGTAAGTTTCTGTGTGTCTTTGAGGCTGTTTTGCACCTCTTTGTTGTTATTTTGTGTTTCATGTGTGTGTGTGAGAGGTGTTTTTGTGTGTCTTTTTAGATTTTTGTGTCTGCTGTTTAACCCCTTTTTGTAGTTGTTTTGCATCTTTTCATAGTCATTATGAGTCTCTTTATGTCTCTTTGCAGCTGTTTTACATCTCTTTATAGTCAGTGTATGATTCTTTGTGGTCATTTTGGGTCTTTTGTAGTCTTTGAATTTCTTTATAGTCATTTTTTGTCTCTGGTTGTTTTGCCTCTTCATAGTTGTAAGCTTCTGTCTCTTTGCAGCTGTTTTGCATCTTTTCTTTGTTGTTTTGTGACTCGTTATGGTCTTATTGTGTCTCTTTGTACTCATTTTGTGTTTCTTTGTGGTCATTTCTGAGTCTCTGGCTGACTTTGAATTTGAGTGACCTTTTGCAGGCCCCTATTTTCGGGCCCTGGATTATTTACAAAGTCCAACTCAGAGACTCTGACGAAGACCTTGCAGTAGTTCTGACTTGTAGCATGTTATCTTTCTTTTGATACAGACATGGGTATGATTTCAAAGACCATTCATTGAAGCATGTGTAATTAAAAACTGTAAATAAAGCTTGCTGTTGTTGGTGTTTCTGTCTTTGTGAGTATAAACCAATAACAGGCGCTAGAGTCATAAATTTTATGAGTGATGCTGGCCTATAATATCTTCAATTTTCTTTGTCCCCTCGGGTTTCCTACAGGAGGTTTAGGTCTGATGCTCTGTATTGACAACACTCAGTATGAACCCGGCAGCTTGAGGGATATGGGCTGCAGGTAGTGGAGAGGGTCCTTACTGGCATCTGTGCCCACTTGCCTATGACCTCATATGCCCTGCTTGGTTATTTGGCCATATACAACATTCAAAAAGGTTTTTCTTGATTAAACTTTTATTTAGCCGACTGATTGTCTGGAGACAAGTTGTGACATACTGGGGAGTTTTTAGAGGCTCAAATAATGATTGAACAACTTTTCCTTCCTAAATCAGTTTTTGGCATAAAAGTGCAAAAACTGTGTTTGTGATGTTTGGACTTTGTGTTGTCAATATTTAAGGTTCATGGTTAGGGGTTATCGTATGTTGGTAACTTTCGGCTCAGGACGCAAAATGCTTCACTGTTTATAAAGTGGCAGCCATCAGGACGGATATCCAAATTCACCAGCAGCAGCTGCCGAAGTAATTCTTCACACTTACTTGTAAGTGCTATCTGACAGCTGAGTTAAACAAGCCTGGGGCACAGCGGTCAAACCAGCCACCGTTTAGGGTTTGTTGTTGTTTTGTTCAGTGCTTGGAGCAGCCAAACTGACTTGTGAAGTATCTCTAAAACTGCATTGAATTCTTACATTACATGTAACTTACCTAATGAATGAATGCTAAGATCTTCCTTAAAAGGTTTGCCAGAAATTCCTGTGTAGTGTCCTTGACTGTTGGCATATGCTAAAATATGAATGCCTGTAACTGTACCGTTACTGTATTTAAGAAAATTAAAGGTTGGCTAATTAATGTCACCTTCATCGTCACCATAAATCAGAAATTTCACTAATTTATTTGAATTAAATGACCATTGAATAATGGGCTGTTATAAAAGTTGAAATTTCAGTAACACTTCTTAAAATAATGTCGGTGAAGATTCTCAGTCATCCAGGTCATGGTAATTGTTAAGTGCTTTATCGTAGGCAACTGGACTTGCTTGCATTCCTTGAAGACATTTTGCCTCTCATCCAAGAAGCTTCTTCAGTTCTAAATGTGGGTGGGAACCCTTGCAGAGTCGTAGGGGTCACATGAGCTCTTAGTTTCAGAGTCATTAAGGCCCCTACAACTCTGCAAGGGTTCCCACCCACACAGGGTTTATAGCCTGCAACTTTGTACCAGTCATTTAGAACTGAAGAAGCTTCGTGGATGAGAGGCGAAACGTCTTCAAGAAACGCGAGCAAGTCCAGTTGCCTACGATATAGCACTTACGACTCTTAAAATAATGTATTTTTTTAGATTTTAAATCCCAAGGACCTGTCTATGTAGTATTGTTAGTGGAGGTAGGTTTGCTTTGGATTTTATGTGCTCAAAGTCATAGCATGCATTTCGCATTAGCATTTTATCATTTGCGGTTGTCTTCTCTCAAAGTCAATGACTTTTCTTCATAGACTGTATAAAATAATGGACAGAGCTGTGATGTCACCCATTGGTTTGTCAACTGTTGTTTTGAAGCTTTGGGTTTGGCCACTGTCTTTTTTTTTTGTTTGTTTTTTTGGAGCCAGAAGTGACCATATTTGGATAAGAGGTGGAGCTGTGGATGAGCAAAGAGTAGAAATTAGCTATAGAGACCAAAGTTGTTTTTATGGCATACTATGACATATTTATGATTTTTTTTATGACATTTAAATGGCCATACTGTAACTATGACCTTTTTTTTTTGGCGTACCCATAGACTGTATAAATAATGGATGTAGCCACGGTTACATTACCCAGTGGTTTGTGGACTGCCGTTTTGAAGCATTAGCATTTTGGCTGCCGCCATCTTGGTTTCTTTGAGCCAGAATTGACCATATTTGGTTGAGAGGTTGGCGCTGTGGAGGAGTGAGGGGTGGATCTTATTCATAGATTGTGGTGAGGCCTTGCAGACAGACTGTAACTCAAGGGGCCCCACCTTTGAATATGCATAAAGTGACGACTTAATAAATCGCAAATGAGTGAGTTATAAAAAAAAAAAAAAATTCACCCCCCGTAGTTGTCATGAATGTTGAAACCAGCTATAGAGGCCAAAAATCTTTGTACCAGGCTGTGAACATGTTTATTTCTGCTGTAAAGTTGGAAATTTTAACATAGGGGTCTACTGACTCGCTTCTGAAGCGAGCCTCAAGTGGCCACTCAAGGAACTGCAGTTTTCGGCATGTCTGCGTTGACTTCATTTTTCAGCTGCAGCTGCTACAGATTTTCATTTTCATGTTTTGTCTTACAGCAAAAAATACATCAGTAAAAAACAACTCATGAATTTTAAAGTTTTTATGTGTCCTAAAAGAGGCGGTTACGAGCAGTTGGCTAAATGAGACTACAGAACATTATCATGCTAACACAGCTTTGCTGCCACATTGTGGTAGCAACAGTGAAGTCCTGCGACCATGGTGTAGGCTGTAATTTGCTTATAGCCTAACATTAGCTTTTTACTTCTGGCGAATGCATTTACGCTTCCAACATAATAAAATTGTTGTTCATTTGTCAGATTATCTTGCTGAAACAAACATGCTAGTATCTTAAACATTTGTTTGCCGCAGACCTTATTTTTTCAATAATCCCAAATCCAATGGTAAAATTCCATTGGATTTTCGCTAAGAGAACATGGCTGATGTTAACTTCCAGGTTGACCTACAAATAAATGTCATCCCAGCATCCATTGTCATTCTCCACAGGATTTCTTTTAGATTTTCAGTGAAACTGTTAACATTTTTTTTTTTTTTTAATGAGAGTTTAAATATGAGGACATTTTTTATGTGTTGCAGGATCTTTTTTACTTTGAAGGTGAGTGTTTCTTTAAATTTACCCATACTATAAGGTCAAATTTTGTTAGTTTGAGGTGAGGACGCAAAAAAGAAGACTGTAATTTGTTGTGTTCTGTGGAGACGGCTCTGCTTGAATGGAATTACCATTAGTATGAACCATGTTAATGAAGCTGATACTAAGATCGTCTCGCATGATTTTGTTTTTGTCTTAGAAAGGTCATTGACTTCAGTCAGAGATGCCATATCTTGTCATGGGTGTCACTCTCTTGCTACTACTGAGCAGTCTTCCAACTCAAGGTTAGTGGCCAAGCAGATACAATGGAATGCAAAAGTCTGGGCGCCCCGTTCAAAAATTTCATTATTGTGAATAGTTAAGTAAGTAGAAGATGAGCTGATCTCCAAATGCCATGAAGTTAAAGATGAAACATGCTTTTCAACATTTTAAGCAAGATCAGTGTTATTGTTGTTTTGTACAATTTTAGATTAAAAAAAAAGGAAAGGAACACCATGCAAAAGTTTGGGCACCCCAAGATATTTCAGACAACTCTTAACAGTGTCTCAGACCATAATAAGGTTGTTAGGGTTATGGCTTGTTCAAATCATCTTTAGGAAAGGCCAGGTGATGCAAATTTCAAAGCTTTATAAATATTCTGACTCCTGAAACCTTGTCCCAATAACCAGCAGCCATGGGCTTCTCTAAACAGCTGCTTAGCTCTTTGAAAACTAAAATAACTGATGCCCACAAAGCAGGAGAAAACTATAAGAAGATAGCAAAGGGTTTTCAGGGAGCTGTTTCCTTAGTTTGTAATGTAATTAATAAATGGCAGTTAACAGGAACTGTGGAGGTCAAGATGAGGTCTGTAAGACCAAGAAAACCTTCCAAGAGAGCTGCTCGTGGGATTGCTAGAAAGGCAAATCAAAACCAGCGGTTCACTGCAAAAGACCTGCAGGAAGATTTATTAGACTCTGGAGTGGTGATGCACTGTGCAGACATAGCTGTATGAATATGACCTTCATGTAAGAGTCATCAGGATGAAACCTCTCCTGTGTCCTCACCACAAAATTCGGTGTCAGAAGTTTACAAATGAACATATAAACAAGCCTGATGTTTTTTAGAAACAAGTCCTGTGGACTGATGAAGTTTAAATAGAACTTTCTGGATGCAATGAGCAAAGGTATGTTTGTATATTAAACACGGGGGTGGATCAATCATACCTTGGGCTTGTGTTGCAGCCAGTGGCACAGGGAACATTTTACAGGTAGAGGGAAGAATGGATTCAATTAAATTCCAGCAAATTCTGGAAGCAAACATCCCAGCATCTATAGAAAAAGCTGAAGATGANGAACATTTTACAGGTAGAGGGAAGAATGGATTCAATTAAATTCCAGCAAATTCTGGAAGCAAACATCCCAGCATCTATAGAAAAAGCTGAAGATGAAGAGAGGATGGATTCTACAACAGGACAATGACCCTAAACACACCTTGAAATCCACAATGGACTACTTCAAGATGCGCAAGCTTAAGGTTTTGCCATGACCCTCACAATCCCCCAATCTAAACATCATTGAAAATCTGTGGATAGGCCCCAAAAGAGCAGTGCATAAAGACGGCCCATGAATCTCACAGAGGTAGAAGCCTTTTGCAGGAATAATGGGAGAAAATCCTTCAAACAAGAATTGAAACACTGGATACAGAATGCGATTAGAAGCTGTGATACTTTCCAAAAGGGGGCGCTACTAAGCACTGACCATGCAGGGTACCCAAACTTTGATTATTTTGAAACTATAAAAGATTGAGTTCAACCGTTATATATGCCATGAAATTACTACATTAATAAAATGCTACAAATGAAGCCGTTGATAGTATGGATTCAAAATGGTACATACACATGCTGCCTTAATATTGAAAAACATATGAGCACAGAGCCATTGAAAATCCTACCCTTTATAGATGCCCCTACACAAGAAATGTCACACTGGACTAAGATTACACTAAAAATCTGGAATAAAATAAAGTCCGGCCTTTGGACTACCAAAGCTAATCTCTTCAATGACAAGACTAGATCTATGAAGACCTTTACACCTAACAGTCTGGATGCCAGCTATAGAGAATGGTCAGATCATGGATGGACTTATCTACATCAGTTATTTATCAACGATAATCTTAAGACATTTGAACAGTTAAAAAATGATTTTGATCTCCCCTGGACAGATTTCTTTAAATACTGTATGCTATTATACACAAGCTTGTGTTTTGTCTAAAGCTATCTTGGCCTCACTTGTTCTGTGTTCATCTTTTCCTTTCTTTCTTTTTCATTATAGCTCAAGACTGCACCAGACCTATAGGAGGAAACAACATGAATTTGAAGGACGAATACATTCTTTTAGACACATTCCCAGATGGGACCAAAGTTAGTTTTGCCTGTGCTGTTGGCCACGTGTCTGCAGGAGGGTCTGCATCCATTACTTGTACTGCTGGCAGTTGGAGTACTTTGATGCTGAAATGCGAGAGTAAATATTAGCACGTAATTTTTACATTCAGATTGGTAATAGCAGCAGTATTTCACAGCCAGTTTGAACAAATTCTCTTTTTTTGATTAGATGGATAACTGATAATATGAAGTAGTCAGTCTGTTGAATTATTTGTGCATAATAATATCCAGTCAATTTTAAAGGAGGAATTTAATCCATGAGGGTTTTCTTTTTTCAGGGAGAAACTGTGGCGCTGCTGAAGAAGTGCCAAATGGATACGTTGACTACTCTCAAGGGACAGAGTTTGGTGATGAACTAGTGGTCACTTGCAACATTGGGTTAGTAATAAGATGATAACTCTGATAATTCATGTTTTTAAAATGTAATGACGGATATGATATTTTAAGTCTAAAATGTCAGCACCAATTGTGTTTCCAAATAAAAAAACTTACTCTCAGGTGCTCAGTAGGGCCTGCAGATCCTTCTTGAAATTTGTTGTCTGAAGTTAGTTAATTATTATATATATATATTTTTTTTTTTTGGATTTCCTAACTAGTTTCAGATTGGTTGGAAAAACCAACACACGTCTCTGTGGAGCTCAAGGGTGGATGGGCAGGATGCCTGAGTGTGAAGGTCGGTAATCTCTCTGTGTTAATACAAGCAACATGACAAAATAAAAGCTCATTGTCTGTCTCTGTTCTAAAAGATGTCACTTGTATTTTGCAGTGGTGACTTGTAATCCCCCACCTCCAGTACAGAACGGCACTTTCAGGCCAGATCAAGAAGTCTATCAGTATGGAGAAGTTGTGGAGTACAGTTGTCAACAAGATTACACACTCTCTGGATCAAGAACAATATCATGTTCAGCTGATGGAGGGTTTGAGCCTTCTCCTCCCACATGTATCAGTAAGTGCCTTTGATTTTTTTATCCAATCTTTTAACATTTTCACCGTGTAAACTCAACAGTGACTGATACTCTTATATACTCTGGAAAAAGTTATTTTGAACAGTTGCATTAATTTCCATTTTATATTTTTTTGTCTGCAGAGGTTCACTGTGAAGAACCTGTTATTGCAAATGCTAAGTGGATTTGGGGTTCTCGGCCCCCTCATGGATACCAGTCTACGGTGACGTACGTGTGCAAACCTGGGTATACTATGATAGGAGAGTCCACCCTGACATGTGGAATAGACAGCCAATGGTCACCTGGACTTCCAACGTGTCAACGTAAGTCATAAATGACAATTAGTACTGAGTTCAGGTCTGTAAAGAAAAGTCACCCTGGTATGTTTGAACATATTTTATAAACCAGATGCTATTGCAGTTTTACATGTGATTAGCTTAATCACGTAACGTTCTATATACTTCTCTCCATGGTTTCCCTTTTAGATTAAATTAGCATTGGCTTGTTTTCTCCCTTTGCTCAGTGGTTATGTTTTAAAAATCAGGAAGTTGCTATCACAACACTTTCTTTTTCTTGCTCTCACTCAAATGCCTGTTATATATGGCATGATATTGTTGCATTAAAAAATTCCACAAACAAAGCCTTTGTAGTATGGATTCAAAATGGCACAAACACCATCCATCCATCCATATTCATCTGCTTATCCGGGTCCGGGTTGCGGGGGCCCCAAGGTGTTCCCAGGCCAGACGAGATATGTAATCCCTCCAGCGTGTTCTGGGTCTGCCTCAGGGCCTCCTACCAGTGGGACGTGCCTGGAACACCTCCAGCGGGAGGCACCCAGGAGGCATCCTGATCAGATGCCCCAGCCACCTCAATTGACCCCTTTCCACGTGAAGGAGCAGCGGCTCTACTCCGAGCTCCCTCCGGATGTCCGAGCTCCTCACCCTGTCTCTAAGGCTGAGTCCAGCCACCCCACAGAGGAAACTCATTTCCACCGCTTGTATCCGCGATCTCATTCTTTCCGTCACTACCCAGAGTTCATGACCACAGGTGAGGGTTGGGACGTAGATGGACCAGTAAATTGAAAGCTTTGCTTTCTGGCTTAGCTCCCTCTTCATCATGACGGACTGATGCAGCGCCTGCATCACTGCAGAAGCCGCACCGACCAGCCAATCCATCTCACGCTCCATTCTACCCTCACTCATGAACAAAACCCCAAGATACTTGAACTCCCTTGCTTGAGGCAGTAACTCTCCCTCAGCCCGGAGAGGGCAAACCAATGGTTTCCAACAGAGGACCATGGCCTCAGACTTGGAGGTGCTGACTCTAATCCCAACTGCTTCACACTCGGCTGCAAAACACCCGATCACATGCTGGAGGTCACGGTGTGATGGAGCCAACAGAACCGCATCATCTGCGAAAAGCAGGGATGCAATTCTGAGGTCCCCAGCTGAGGGCACCAGCTCCGGCTTCTTCCATACTAGAGAGGTGACATTCCACGTACCAAAAGCCAGTCCACGACGCCAGGGATCGGCACGCCAGGTCCCCCGCCCCTGCCTGTCGCCCGGCACACAATGCAACCGACCCCAATTTCTATCCTTGCGGGTGGTGGGCCCACAGGGCGATGGCTCCATGTTATTTCTTCGGGCTGAGACCGACCGGGCCCCATGGCCTAAGGCCTGGCCACCAGACGCTCGCTGGCGACCTCTCCCCCCGGGTCTGTCTCCAGGAGGAGGCCCTGGTTTCCCCATACCGGGTGAGGTACTATTCTCCCGAGTGGTCTGTTTCATTGAAGGTCTCTGAATCGCTCTTAGTCTGGTCCCTCCCCCTGGACCACTTTGCCTTGGGAGACCCCACTAGGGGCTATTAGCCCCCGACAACACAGCACCCAGGTTCACAGGGACACTCAAACTCCTCCACCACGTTAAGGTGGCGATTCTCGGAGGAGTGTACACACGCTGCCTTAATATTGAAAAATATATGAGCACAGAGCCATTGAAAATCCTACCCTTTCTAGATGCCCCTACAAAAGAAATGTCATACTGGACTAAGATTACACTCAAAATCTGGAATAAAATAAAGTCCATCCTTTGGACTACCAAAGCTAATCTCTTCATTGACAAGCACTAGATCTATGAAGACCTTTACACCTAACAGTCTGGATGCCATCTTTAGAGAATGGTCAGATCACGGACCGACCTATCTGCATCAGTTATTTAACAACAATAATCTTTTGATATTTTTTTGGGGGAGGGGGTCTGTCCTATCAAACTTTATTTGATATGACAGACAAGTGTGAAAGGGGGAGAGAGAGAGAGGGAGTGACATGCAGCAAAGGGCCACAGGCTGGAGTCGAACCCGGGCTGCTGCGACAACAGCCTTGTAATTGGGGTGCCTGCTCTACCACTAAGCCACCGACGCCCCAACAACGATAATGTTAAGACATTTGAACAGTTGAAAAATGATTTTGATCTCCCCTGGAAAGACTTCTTTAAATACTTGCAGTGAAGAACTTTCCTGACAACACACAATGAGTGGGCAAACTCATAAAAGCTACATCTATAGAAAACTTTATAAAAGAAGTACACATGGGAAATGGAGACAAGAAAATAATTAGTGAAGTGTACAAAATATTAATAATATCTATGAACCAACATAACACCCTACAGGTAAGGCAGATGTGGGAAGCAGAGATGAACATGGTCATAAGTCATATGGTCAACTTTTACAAACCTGTTGGAGAACCCAACATGACTTTGAATTTTACATTTAAACTCCTGATAGCAGCAATATTTTACCACCAGTTTAAACTGGCAGTGTTCTCTGATTTGAAAGCCACTTGTAAATAACGTCTTAATGAAAACTCTAGTGTCTATTTCGGTTCTAATATATGCAATTTCTATTTTGCAGTGGTGACTTGTGATCCGCCACCTACAATAGTGAATGGCACTTTCCATCCAAAGAAAGAATCTTATGACTATAGTGACATTGTGGAGTACTGTTGTCAAAAAGATTACACACTCTCTGGATCCAAATCAATATATTGTTCAGCCCATGGAAGGTTTGAGCCTGCTCCTCCCACATGTATCAGTAAGTGTTTAAAAAAATGTTCTCCCTCTCAGCATTTTCCCCATGTAAACTCAGCTATTATTTTGGACAGTTGTATTTATTTCCATTAAAAAAAAAAAAATTGCTTGCAGTGGTTCAATGTGAAGAGCCTGTCATTAGAAATGCTGAGTGGATTTGGGGTTCTCGACCCCCTTATGGACACCAGTCTACGGTGACGTACATGTGCAAACCTGGGTATACTATGATAGGAGAGTCCACCCTGACATGTGGAAGAGATGGTCAGTGGTCACCTGGACTTCCAACTTGTCAACGTAAGTCATAAATCAATCACCATGACACCTAATGCGCATGTGGTTGGCCTGCAGTCTTATAAAACGTGAAGTTTGGGGCAGATTAGAACATGTATGCTGGAGTTACAAACCACTTCCTGTTTGGTAGGGAAACATGGAAGTTTGACGCCTCCCCACGATCACACAGTTTGACAACAACTCAAACTTTGAACAACTTTTGATGTCCAATGTCTTAGGATGGTACACACTAAATTTTAAGACGACTGGATCACATCTGTGGGAGGAGTTTGTTAAAGTCAGACCCCTAGGAAATGGCCAAAATTGCACATTACATTAAGAATGGCTGACTTCCTGTTGGCTTTAGGGTATGGCTCCAAGAGACTTTTTGTACATCTTGGGATGTTACATATGCCTCCCAATTTTTGTACATGTAGGTTAAACCAGCTTTGGGGGCTGCTTCATAGAATTTTTGTAGGGGGCGCTACTGAGCCATTTTTTTGCACCGAAGCATGAGACCCTTAAAATATACAATTTTTCACCAATTGTGGTATGTGTGCAAAGTTTCATGACTTTTCAAGAAGAATTCCTTGCATTTCAAAAGGGTCCTTGCGCCGCATGGGGCTCGAACCCTAAAAACGCCAAATATAAAACTTCATAGGATTTCATAGGATGAATCTATGAAATTGATTCAGGGTTACCACAGTCATGAAATGCCTTAGAAAGTTATGAAATAAGAAAAACTGTTTTCTAGGCCTGTAAATGGTTTGGAATTGACCCTTCATTAAGAACAGTTGTATTAATTTCCATTTATTATATTTTTTTGTCTGCAGTGATTCAGTGTGAAGAGCCTGTTATTACAAATGCTGAGTGGATCTGGGGTTCTCAACCCCCTCATGGATACCAGTCTATGGTGACCTACATGTGCAAACCTGGGTATACTATGATAGGAGAGTCCACCCTGACATGTGGAAGAGACGGTCAGTGGTCACCTGGACTTCCAACGTGTCAACGTAAGTCATAAATGACAAAATTTTAGGATGAATCTATAAATCTAATTCAGGGTTACCACAGTCGTGAAATTCCTTTAAAAGATATGAAATCAGAAAAACTGTTTTCTAAGCCTGAGTGTGAAGGTTGGCAATCTCTCTGTGTTAATACAAGGAACATGACAAAATAAAAGCTCATTGTCTGTCTCTGTTCTAAAAGATGTCACTTATATTTTGCAGCGGTGACTTGTGATCCCCCACCTCCAGTAGAGAGCGGCACTTTCAGGCCAGATAAAGAAATCTATCTGTATGGAGACGTTGTGGAGTACAGTTGTCAACAAGATTACACACTATCTGGATCCAGATTAATATATTGTTCTGCCTATGGAAGGTTTGAGCCTTCTCCTCCCACATGTATCAGTAAGTGTTTTTCTTTTTTTCCCCCAACCTTTCAACATTTTCCCCGTTGTAATCTCAGCAGTGACTGATACTCTCATACTCTGGAAAGTTCTTTTGAACAGTTGCATTCATTTCCATTTAATATTTTTTTCGCCTGCAGAGGTTCAGTGTGAAGAACCTCGTATTACAAATGCTAAATGGATTTGGGGTTCTCGACCCCCTCATGGATACCAGTCTACGGTGACATACAAGTGCAGCTCTGGGTATACTATGATAGGAGAGCCCATCCTGACATGTTGAATAGACAGCCAATGGTCACCTGGACTTCCAACATGTCAACGTGAGTCATAAATAAACTGGGTTTAGGTCTGTAAAGAAAAGTCAGCCTGTTATGTTTATGTGTTGGGTCTGGTTTTACTTCCTGTCCTTGTGTGTTTTTCCATCTCTTTTCTGTCACACCTGTCTCATCAGTCCTTCCCTGTTCCAGAGTCTTCCCTTCACACCTGTTCTGTATTAGGCCTAATCCCAATACCCCCTTGTCCACTACCCTTAGCCCTTGCCCACTGTCCCTTGGCCCTCGAAATGAAGCAACAAGGGGTAGGGGTTGAAATCTTTCCCTAGGAACTGGGACACCACTCACTACGTCACTGCGTCGGTTACATTCACGCATACGTAACTATTTTAAACAGGAAGCCACGAGCCATCTACATTTCCAACCGGCATCTACAATGGAGCTACTATTATGCTTGCTACTAACGTACCATTAGAGTAATAAGATATGTACAACAGGGGACTTCTGCTAGCTAGCTAGCTAAAATTATGAGGCAGCATAGTTATAATAGCTGGCATGTTATTGTAATGTGAAAAATCCGACAATTTTGCAGAACAGGACAGATGCCAGACAGTGCGAGCTAACTAGCTAGCTAACAAGCAACCTGACGAAGGTAACGTTAGCTAGCTGGCTAGCTTGCTGTCAACTCCAATCTAGACGTCATGAATAGCAATAAAAATTGTTATACCATTCTCTACACAAATACACAGTTATTCGAAAACGTTTCATGTTTATTTGCGAAATTATACGTACATGTCTGAATTTTTTCCCCGTCTCTTGCTTGGTGGTAGCCATGGCAATGTCTACCCCTCGCTGGCAAGTCAGCATCTGAAATCCCTCGCTCCGAAGGACTAGTTTCATACCCACTACCCCCTACACGCAAAAAGGAATTGGGACACCCCTACCCCTCGCGGGAACGTGCAAATCTAGGGGTAGGGCCAAGGGGGGTATTGGGACGGGCTTGTTTGCTCCCCCGTTGTGTTCCCCTCCAAACCATTGTTGTTGGCAAATCTCCATTTCCCTCCTTTTGCCCATGTCTTCCTACTCCAGCTGTGTCTTGTTCTTGTGATTAGTATTCTGTGTATACAGTATCTCACATAAGTGAGTACACCCCTCCCATTTTTGCAAATATTTCATTATATCTTTTCATGGGACAACACTATAGAAATGACACTTTGATATAACTTAAAGTAGTCAGTGTACAGCTTGTATAGTAGTATAGATTTAACTTCCTCTGAAAATTACTCAAAACACAGCCATCAACATCTAAACAGCTGGCAACATAAGTGAGTACACCCCACAGTGAACATGTCCAAATTGTGCCTAAAGTGTCAATATTTTGTGTGCCAACCATTATTATCTAGCACTGCCTTCACCCTTTTGGGCATGGAATTCACCAGAGCTCACAGGTTGCTTCAGGAATCCTCTCCCACTCCTCCATGATGACATCATGGAGCAGATGGATGTGAAGACACCTTGTGCTCCTCCACCTTCAGCTTGAGGATGCCCCACAGGTGCACAGGTGAGTTTATCACCTTCACCTTCAGCTTCCTCAGCAAGGCAGTTGTCATCTACTAGGTGTGTTTTGGGCCATTATCATGTTGTCTTGGTGCTCTTCACCAAGGTGCCACACATGCTGAAAGAGCACCAAGACAACTGTCCCATGCCTACAGTCAAGTATAGTGGTGGCAGCATCATGGTTTGGGGCTGCATGAGTGCTGCTGGCTCTGGGGAGCTCAGTTCATTTAGGGAAACATGAATTCCTAGCAGAGCATGATCGCTCCTCTTCAGAAACTGGGCTGCAATGCAGTTTTCCAACATGATAATGACCCTAAACACACCTAGTAGATGACAACTGCCTTGCTGAGGAAGCTGAAGGTGAAGGTGATAAACTCACCTGTGCACCTGTGGGGCATCCTCAAGCTGAAGGTGGGGTAGCGCAAGGTGTCTTCACAACCATCTGCTCCATGATGTCATCATGAAGGAGTGGGAGAGGATTCCTGAAGCAACCTGTGAGCTCTGGTGAATTCCATGCCCAAAAGAGTGAAGGCAGTGCTAGATAATAATGGTTGGCACACAAAATATTGACACTTTAGGCACAATTTGGACATGTTCACTGTGGGGTGTACTCACTTATGTTGCCAGCTGTTTAGATGTTGATGGCTGTGTTTTGAGTAATTTTCAGAGGAAGGTAAATCTATACTACTATACAAGCTGTACACTGACTACTTTAAGTTATATCAAAGTGTCATTTCTATAGTGTTGTCCCATGAAAAGATATAATGAAATATTTGCAAAAATGGGAGGGGTGTACTCACTTATGTGAGATACTATATATACCTGGGTTTCCCTTTGTTCTTGGTCAGTTTGTCTGTGCTCGTCCTGTGTGCATTCTGTGTTGTTCCCATATTCATCCCATATTCATCCTGTGTTCACCCCTGTGTTCCTGGTGTCATTCCCTGCTCCATTTCCTGCCTGGTGTGCTGTTTGGATTTCAGTTTTTCAGAATTTCAATTTAGTTTTGGCTCTGCTTGCATTTTGACTTTTAGTTACCTGCCTGTACTGGATCATTACTATCGTCTGAATTAAAGCTTGCTTTTTATTAAAAATTCAACATGCCTGTTAGTCTGCATTTGGATCCCCCTTGAACTGATACCTGACATAGAGTCCTTTATGTTTATATTTATTGAAATAGTATCAATAAACATCAGAACTTTTACAACTGGCAGTGTTGACCATGGCTAATGATGAAGAACAGTTGTTGCTCTGTGAACATTCCTGATTTGTTAGAATGTGAATTTATTTTTAACAGATCAAGCAAATGCAGTCAGCCTGAGTGCTTATTTTCATTCTGTTCTTTCATGTAAACAGCTCATACAATAGAAGATTAGGAAACGGGCAGGGCGTGTTTGAGGCCATGGGTGTTTTACAACGGAAAGCCAAACCCACGGATCCTGACCGTAAACAGCACTGCTCTCATCTCCCTCCACACTGGGTCATTATAAAGGCCATGTGGCAGCACTGACTTCGAGTATGTTGGCTTTATTTTGATACATGAGTGTGATTTGAGAGATGATTCAAAGACGGAGCGTGTCAAAATAAAAATGTAAAGCTTGCTGTTGCTTTAGTCTTTGTTCCAGGTAAAACTAGAGTGTAAATTTTATGAGTGATGTAGGCCTGTGTGCACAAGGAAAGTGTCTTCAGAGAAATGCAAATACTTCAGCCTGATATTAGGAAACCAGTCTGTTGCACAAACAATGAATCAGCGATAAGTTGTTTTATGACATAGAAATATACTGACTGAGTTTGAGAAGGAGGATTATGTTCAGTGCTGGACACAGAATACAATATATTACCTATAACAGCCCATCGATCTGAAGCTAGAAAGCAGAGTTATCATCCTTGAACTTGTGGTGTCCAGTAACTGCGATGGAGTCATCTGTTTTCCTTGTGTGAAAAGCTGCAAATCCCCTAATATTGTACTACTTACAATGTACTGTAGAAACTGTTTGTCACTTTCAGACTATGTGGGCTGTTGGGTTTGTCTGGTTTTTGTAAATATTGTACCCGTCATTATTACAACTAGAAAGTAAAAAATGACTTTGTATGTCCAAATCATAAAAAATATGTTCCATTCCCAAGATTCCGTAACCACCCTGCACAAGCTTTGTATTATTTTTAAGATGTTGGAAGTGACATAAAAGGGAAGTGGGCTGTGTGATTTCGGGGCAGGAGAGGAAAATAGTTAAAGAGGAACATTTTATAAAAAGACCGATTACTTGTTGCTCTGTGGGAAGTACATCACTTCCTCTTATTGGCCCTGCCAGGGCAGGGACCATTACATCACGCTTTGTGAATGCCTGGTCCAGTGGTCTCCATTGTTACCATTGAAATGAAGGCAAATTGTGACTAGACAGAACATGACACATCAGTCAACATTACCAGGAGAGTTCAAAGACATTCTGGGAAATGTAAGGAGTTGCATTCACATTAACTTTAGTCACAACAGCGACGCCATCTTTAAACCTTCTGTTAGTCCTTTCAGGTTTTCTATAGGGTGTTTAGATCTAGTGCCCTGTCCTTACATCGTATGGACCAAACAGCTCTAGGAAGGGGTGCCCAGTTGGCTTCTTAAGCCCTGTATGGTAATATGCTGTGGTGGAGGAAGTCTTCAGTTCCTTCACTTAGGAAAAAAACACACTGTGAAAATACTCTGTGACAAGAAAAGCCCTGCATTGAAATGTAACTTAAGTAAAAGTAAGAAAGTATAATGAGGAAAATGTACTTTAACTATGAAAAGAAAGAGTACCCTATTTAAAAAAAAGTGTAAAAAAATAGAAATTAAAACATGCCCCCAATACATAAAAATTATTCAAAATAAACTAGAGGGTCACTTAAATGTTTAGTAAAATAGCTGCCAATTGTCAGCCATCTAACTGATTAATCAACTAATGGTATCCTCCTGAGACCCTGTGTCCTCATATGAGGACATCACATTTTGGGTTCACTTGACCTTATACGTCATTCTACTTAACTTAGACCTGTTGTCCTCGTTCGTGGACACTTTTTGTGCCATCTAGTGGTAGTAAGAGCACAATTCATTCATTAATGGAAAAACAAGATGGCAGCCATCTCTGCCAAGTCAGTCTGCAGCTGATCCCGACACAAAAGTGGACAAGGTCCAAAACCTGATCACATTTTATGGTTGAAACTTGCTTATTTATGATTAATAATGTTTGTAGTTTGATATGGCAACAAATTTGAACCAATTTAGCGACAGTAACGAGATAAGACAACGAGATAAGAGGTACTCATCTGAGGACATTGGGACTTTATTATTATTGTTGACAATGTTTTTTATACTTATCGGGTCCAATTGATCCGAATTAACTAGGAGAAATTAAAAAAAGCATACCATACAAAAGTGTGGGTCTCAGGAGGATAATCTGTTGGGTAGTTTAATTTAGAGACTGTTCGTTACTTATGAGGGGGGAGGAGGGGTGATGCAAAAGAGGGAGGCATGTCAAGTTATTTTCTAAGCACTGGGGAGGGGCTTATGTTTTTATTTTGGCTTAAGGGAGGGGGATATAAATTGAAATGGCTGTATTTTGTTTTTATTTTACTTCAGACTTTTAAAGAAAATATGCAGACATGTTTTCTTTTAAAAAATTACACCATTTATCGTAGCTGAAACTGTAAAAACAGAAATTGTCATTGGATTTTCAAATTTCAACAGTCCTTGGACGCATCATGTGCCATGAGTGCTTCCGTCAGGAAAAAAACAAAACCAGATGTGATCTTAAAACAGTGATATTTCATCAAAATCATTTTATTCTATGTCTCATTTAAACTTTGGCCACAAATAAACAGTTTGCACGAACTAAGCAACATGCATGACTTCACTTTCAAACATCAAGGGGTAAGATTTAAACATCTACTGCCTAATTTATGGTCGAGGGAGGGTCATGTATTTTCTGCCAGTCACTCAGGGACACTCAAAGTAATACTTGTAGCTTCAGGGAATGGTAAAAAGAAAAAAAAGTACCACCCCAGCCACATAAATAAAGAACAGTCCCTTATAACAAAGCAGCATATTTTATGAACTTGTCCTGTTTTTATGCAAACATTTTAATTTGTAAAGAAGTCAAGTAAGTAGTAAGTACGGTACTTGAATAAATATACTTAGTTACATTCCACCAGCAGCTACAGAGGGTTTTCTTGATGTAGCATTTATTTACTGTTCGTTTGGAGGTAGGCCGAGGCATAACAGACACTCAGATCAGTTATTAGCACCGATAAAAGTCCAAAAACACATGTTTGTAGTGTTTTATTGAAGTTTCATGGATAGAGGTCAACAGTATGTTCATTTGACTTTTGCTGTGAGTCAGATGTGACTTACTGAATACATGCAAAAGCCACGCCTATGTCAGACCGGAAGTCACACCCGTTCATGCTCAAGGGGGAAACGAAGATCACTGAAGCTCAGCGACCATTGTAGTGATCCTTCACACTCAGCTGGGTAAGTCAAAAACGGTTTCGTGCCTTAACAAACTGCTCTAACCGAAATTAACAGATAACAGAAGAGCGACACTAACACGACTGGAAACAACGAAGGATTAACGGTTGACGATGTTACGTTAGCTAACTGGTAAGCTAACGTTAGCTAACTGGTAAGCTAACGTTAGCCTGCTAGCTTAACTCTAAGCCTGGGTTACAGGAACTGCTGTGACTTCACGCTTTGATAATATAGTGAAAACGCGCTTATTCAGACTGTCAGGTGAACACAATTTGGCGGATTTCATCACCTTTAGGATCTACAGGTAATTTCGGCATATATTACATATAAATGGACGTTAGAGTTCGGTTTACGCAGTTAGTTTAACCGCAACTCGTTACCGCCCACTGTTTGGAAAACACGGGTGATAAGTTACAGCGGTAATGTTAAGTTACTGATGATACGGGGTGAGCTTTTACTGCTGTGCTGGCTTTCTTGTGTTTCTCCCTTTTAAAACGTGCCGAATTTGCCAGTTGAAGCTGACGCTACAGTTAAGCTGTGAAAAAACCCGTTAAGATAAAGTATATAAGCAGCGTCACACTAATAAGCTAATACTGATTTATATTGAGTGACGTTTGGCAACAAAGGACAATACTGAGCACAGTTACCAACCAAGACTGGCAAGTGACCAGTGTACATACATTTGAGACTACATTTGTATCGTTGTTTGTGATATTTTAACCTAAACTCTTAAGGTGACGTTTTAGTTTAATGTAACTCACAGTTGAAGATAACTGGCATGCATAGGCAGATTATGAGGTAATGGCGTCCTTCGGCACAGATAGGCAAAAGGCCTCATCGCCAGTCCTTGGCAGGGGCAAGACGCAAGTGGTTGTGGTGGTTTTGCATTTCTTTGTAGACGTTGTGCATCTTTCTGTTTGTATCTCAGTAAGGTCATTTGTGTATTTTGTTTTGTGTAGGGCTGCCCCCTAAAAGTCAACCAAACATAAGTTGACCAGAAAGGTTGTTAAGTTGGCAAGATTTCAGTAGTCGCTTAGTCGCAGAAAAAACCCCAACAAAAACAAAGCTGCACCTTGTCAAAATAAATCAAATTCTATATAACTGGACCATGTGGGAGTTTAATTTGAAAGGACAGACACAAGAAGTGTCCACGCTCAGCAGTCAGACAGGAGTCAGGTTAATTTCCAGGGCTGGTACCTGCGGTTATTCCACAGGCTAGTTAATAACATGTCGGGCAGGAAATCCAAAGTGTGGGATCATTTTGAGAAGGTGAAGGACGAACCCAGGGTGATATGTAAACTCATCTTCACTGGTCGACTACAAACATGACGTATCATCTGAAACATGGAAGTAGCTACATGCCCATTAGCCCACAGCGTCATTAACAGGCGGCTCGCTCAGTGTGTGACGTGCACTTGTAGATAAAATATAGGCCTATGTTAATGAAGGTTCATTAGTACGGTTTTGTATTTCTCTGTAATGTAGCACAGTGTTAACAACGTTACTGATACTATTCTTTCTCACACCTTAAACTCAAACCATTGTGTTGCCCCGCCCAAAATATATCATTTAATAATCAAATTAATATCGTAAACATGCGGGCGACTAGTCGACTAATGGCCCTAAATGATGGCTAATGGTTGACTAGGAAATTCTTAGTCGGGGGCAGCCCTTATTTTGTGTGTCCTTTCTGCATTCTTTCCCTTTGGGTTGCTATTTGGTAATTTTGTGCTTTATTGAGGCAGTTTTATGTCTCTTTGAGGCAATCTAAAGTCTTTTTTTGGTTGTTTTATGTCTCTTTGTAGTTGCCTAGTGTCTCTGTGTGGTTGTTTTTGATATTTTGTGTCTCCGTGGTTCATTTGCACCTCTAGTTGTTTCTTATGTGTCTCTTGATGGTCATTTTGAGTCTTCTTCTGGTTGATACGAGTTAATTTGAGTAACATTTTGCAAGTGAAGGCCAAGGGGCCTCCTGACACTTTGGGCCAGTGGGCCTGTGCCTGGTAGGCCCGTTCAGTAATCCATCCAAGCTTGCATGACTGTAATTTAATGTGTTCTGTGAAGATAGCTCTGCGTGATTGGAATCAGTGCTAGTATAAACTAGGGTTTTGCCGTGTCATATTGTTCATGATAATACATATAATTTTTAATTTTGCAATGCTTATGTTTGTGTTTTTCTTTGCCAGAAAACTCACTGACTTCACTCAGAGTTGTCATACACCGTCATGGATGCCACTTACTTCCTTCTACTGAGCAGTCTTGGCCTTGTCATTACAACTAAAGGTCAGTAGCAGAGCAGATAAGCTTGCTGCATACTGTATGTTATTATACACAAGCTTGTGTTTTGTCTAACGCTATCTTGTCCTCACTGTGTTCTTCTTTCTCTTTCTCTATTTTTCATTATAGCTCAAGACTGCACCAGACCTATAGGAGGAAACAACATGAATTTGAAGGACGAATACATTCTTTTAGACACATTCCCAGATGGGACCAAAGTTAGTTTTGCCTGTGCTGTTGGCCACGTGTCTGCAGGAGGGTCTGCATCCATTACTTGTACTGCTGGCAGTTGGAGTACTTTGATGCTGAAATGCGAGAGTAAATATTAGCACATAATTTTTACATTCAGATTGGTAATAGCAGCAGTATTTCACAGCCAGTTTGAACAAATTCTCTTTTTTTGATTAGATGAATAACTGATAATATGAAGTAGACAGACTGTTGAATTATTTGTGCATAATAATATCCAGTCAATTTTAAAGGAGGAATTTAATCCATATGAGGGTTTTCTTTTTTCAGGGAGAAACTGTGGCGCTGATGAAGAAGTGCCAAATGGAAAAGTTGACTACCCTCGAGGGACAGAGTTTGGTGATGAACTAGTGGTCACTTGCAACGTTGGGTTAGTAATAAGATGATAACTCTGATAATTCATGTTTTTAAAATGTAATGACAGATATGATATTTTAAGTCTAAAATCAATCAATCAATCAATCAATTTTATTTATAAAGCCCAATATCACAAATCACAATTTGCCTCACAGGGCTTTACAGCATACGACATCCCTCTGTCCTTATGACCCTCGCAGCGGATAAGGAAAAACTCCCCAAAAAACCCCTTTAACGGGGAAAAAAAATGGTAGAAACCAGAGAGAGAGGTAATGACAGTAGTTTACAACAACATTATTGAAAGTAATAATATTATAGTTATAGTTCTGGCTACTGTGGTACAATATGTTGAAAGTATGTATTAATATCTGACAGTATACATGTGTGACAATAGTCATATGTGTATAATAACAGTAGAAGTATGACTAATGACTAATGATGGCAGCAGCAGCAGGAGGCATCTGGCAGGACCACGGCAGCAGCACAACCACACACGTCACGCTGTCCAGGCATCGCTGCAATATGAGTTAATCTGAGAGACAGTGGAGCACAAAGGCTCCGGAGAAGAAGCCGAGTTAGTGACATCCAGAATGGCCGAGTTAGCAAGATGCAGTGAGAGAGGGAGAGGGAGAGGGAGAGGGAGAGAGCCCGGTGTATTATAGGGGGTCCTCCGGCAGACTAGGCCTAAGTCAGCCTAACTAGGGGCTGGTACAGGGCAAGCCTGAGCCAGCCCTAACTATAAGCTTTATCAAAGAGGAAAGTCTTAAGTCTAGTCTTAAATGTGGAGACGGTGTCTGCCTCCCGGACCGTAACAGGAAAATGTCAGCACCAATTATGTTTCCAAATAAAAAAACTTACTCTCAGGTGCTCAGTAGGGCCTGCAGATCCTTCTTGAAAATTGTTGTCTGAAGTTAGTTAATTATTATATATATATATTTTTTTTTTTTTGGATTTCCTAACTAGTTTCAGATTGGTTGGAAAAAACACACGTCTCTGTGGAGCTCAAGGGTGGATGGGCAGGATGCCTGAGTGTGAAGGTCGGTAATCTCTCTGTGTTAATACAAGCAACATGACAAAATAAAAGCTCATTGTCTGTCTCTGTTCTAAAAGATGTCACTTGTATTTTGCAGTGGTGACTTGTAATCCCCCACCTCCAGTACAGAACGGCACTTTCAGGCCAGATAAAGAAGTCTATCAAAATGGAGAAGTTGTGGAGTACAGTTGTCAACAAGATTACACACTCTCTGGATCAAGAACAATATCATGTTCAGCTGATGGAGGGTTTGAGCCTTCTCCTCCCACATGTATCAGTAAGTGTCTTTCATTTTTTTATCCAATCTTTTAACATTTTCACCGTGTAAACTCAACAGTGACTGATACTCTCATATACTCTGGAAAAAGTTATTTTGAACAGTTGTAATAATTTCCATTTAAATTTTTTTTTGTCTGCAGAGGTTCACTGTGAAGAACCTGTTATTGCAAATGCTAAGTGGATTTGGGGTTCTCGGCCCCCTCATGGATACCAGTCTACGGTGACGTACCAGTGCAGATCTGGGTATATTATGATAGGAGAGTCCACCCTGATATGTGGAATAGACAGCCAATGGTCACCTGGACTTCCAACATGTCATAGTAAGTTATAAATGACAATTTGTATTTTGTTTAGTTTTGTGAAGAAAAGTTAGCCTGTTATGTTTGAACATGATTTTATAATCATCCAGATGCTATCGCATTCTTACATGTGATTAGGTTAATCAGATAATGTTGCCCATGGTTTCCGTTTAGATTAAAATAGCATAGGTTTGTTTTCTCCCTTTTGCTCAGTGGTTAAGTTTTAAAAATCAGGAAGTTGCTATGGCAACAGTTTCTTTTTCTTGCTCTCCCTCATATGCCCGTTAGATATGCCATGAAATAACTACATTTTAAAAATGCAAAAATTAAAATTTTAAGATGAATCTATGAAATTAGTTCATGGTTACCACAGTCATGAAATTCCTTGAAAAGTTTTGAAATCAGAAATACTGTAAATTGACCCTTCACTAAGTCCCGCCCCTCGAGACTGGCCAATCATAGCATAGCATCAGCCAGCTCTGGCAAGGGTCCGATAACTGTACAGCTGACTGTCATGCAATCCTTTTAGACTTCCTTCATTTTCAGGCTGGTTCTGTAGATTTGGAGCTAAATGTTGTGCCTGGGGCACGTCATGTATCAATAATAACCGTTTTCCTTTTGTGAAAAGTCAATAAAAGATGTACGTTTCTTTCCTGTTCCAAAACCAAAATCAAACCCTGAAAAGTGCATGGTTAGCTAGCTAGTCACTAAAGTTATAGCATACTTGTGCTGCTTTTGCTTCTTTACTGATTATGACATAGTATGAAGACCACCCCCCCTTTACAGGAACCAAACACTGTTAATCTGCGCACACTGCGGTGACACACAGCTGGTTGAAAATTGGGCTTTAATGTACAGGATAGAGTGAAATGGGGGAGAGAGAACGGGGGGTGACATGCAGCAAATGGTTGCAAGCTGGAGTCGAACCTGCGACCACTGCAGCGAGGCATCGCCATTGTACATGGGGCGCCGGCTCTATCCACTGCGCTACCAACGCCCCAGTTTCCCTTTCACTCTTGCACTGTGATCTGCACACTGGGCTCACACTGCTAACTGTTTTTGTCTTTTTAACATGTTTTTGCTGCGGAGTCTGTTTGACATCCTGGATATATCCTTCAAACACATACTTAGACTCTTCTGTCTGCCTATCTCTGAAATCGCCTTTTCAGTGTTCCCAAAATCTAATATTATTTCCTCAGGGACTGCAGTCAGTGACAGTGTGGGCTCAGTGCTAGCTCCAAGTCACAAAACAATTATCTGACATGTCTACAAACACAAATGTTCAATAAGAAATAAATGCATACAGACTTGTCAAAATTATAATCCAATCACGTCAAATTGCACCGACATCTGTATGATCTTTGGTTTTCTTTTCCCCAAAGAGGGGTGCAGCCATGACATTTTGCAGAGTATTCGTATGTGCTTACCTGTGAGTTCCGTTAGCAAGTGCTCGAAATGTACTTATCTGCAAATGCCTGGAAAGTGGGCATATAACAGTGTATGGCTATATTGCTATACAGGCCCACCTATTTTAAAGTACTTAAATGGAGTCATGGAAATATTTCAGATGGGGCAATGCAATTGGATTATCAAACAGCCAGGATTACAGATGTTTGTTTCAATCAGCCATAGCTAATGTAGCTAGCATGGTAACGTAGCTAGTGCTGGACTGTTGGGGGTTCAATTATATGGGGTAACAGCGAGGTAATAATTTCTGTGTCAAATAAAGTGTGTGTGCAATGTATTTTAATTAGTTCCTACAGCCAACAACAACATATTCAAAGTGAATAAATATATCTATGTGTTGGTAACACTGTCCTGATTAGCCCTTTGTTTTTGTAGGACCAACCACACCTAAAACCACCACCACCACCACCACACCATCAGGTAAAGTCTATGTTAATGTTCAAAACCATCTGAAGCGCCATAGTGTTTGTCACATGATAAAATGGTGCAACTTCTTTGTTTCCCCTACCACTGGCATAGGATGTGATGAAACTTGTGGTTTACACCCATAGTTATTAATTGGTTAACATACCCGTCTGCCACCCCAAATAAGCCAACCTTTGTTTGGGCCAAAAAAGGACTTTTTGAGGTGAACGACACCAAAAGTCTGAGGTGTTTTACAGTATTAAAGCCATGTGATTATATCTTGGATCAACCTATAATCATATTTTTGGGGTAAAGGAAATGCTGTTAAATGGTCCTGGTGAAGCATACAAAAGAATTTAGAGTTTATTTTCTTGCAACAAGGTAAATAGGGTTGTGATATTTATAGAATTTTTTTTATAGCATTTTGACGATTTACTGCAAGAATGTGAATCCAAAAACAATTTCCCCCTGGGGATTAATAAAGTATTCTGAATCTGAATCTGAAAGATACTGAATTCACTCAAATTCATTCAAAAATCAAACATTCCCAAGTATAAATTATGATTCTTATAAATCAAGGTACAGTATTTGATCACATTCTTGCAGTAAATCGTCAAAATGCTATAAAATGCTTTGTTCCAAAAACAATTTCCCCCCGGGGATTAATAAAGTATTCTGAATATGAATCTGAATCTGAAAGATACTGAATTCACTCAAATTCATTCAAAAAACAAACATTCCCAAGTGTTAATTTTACCCATAAACAGTTAGCCAATCCATTTTTCCAAAACAAATTATGCTATACCAGTGTTTCCCCTACCATTATATTTGAGGGGTGCCCCGACCCCCCTTGAAGGTCAAGTTAATTTTATTTCATTTTATTTTCTGTATAGTGCCAGATCACAACAGAAGTCATGTAAGGTTACCTTCCCTATAGAACAGTTCCATACCTTGTCCTTTTGTTAAACAAACTAAATAGCCTCATGTTATTTATCCTATAAACTCAGCAGTGACTGATACTCTCATATACTCTGGAAAAAGTTGTTTTGAACAGTTGTATTAATTTCCATTTGATTTTTTTTTTGCCTACAGTGCGTGGATGTGAAGAACCTCATATTACAAATGCGGAGAGGATTGGAGGTACTCGACCCCCATATGGATACCAGTCTTTGGTGACGTACCAGTGCAAACCTGGGTATAAAATGATAGGAGAGCCCACCCTGAGATGTGGGAGAGATGGTCAGTGGTCACCTGAACTTCCAAAATGTCAAGGTAAGTCATAAATGACAATTAGCACTTGGTTTAGGTCTGTACAGAAAAGACAGCGTGTTATGTATGAACATATTTATAGTAATGCAGATGCTATCATATTCTTACAGGTTTTATCACGTAACATTCTATATACTTCTCTCCATGGTTTCCCTTTTAGATCCAATTTGCATAGGTTTTTTTCTCCTTTTGCTCAGTGGTTACATTTTAAAAGTCAGGAAATTGCTATGGCAACACTTCCTTTGTCTTTGTCTCACTCAAATGCCCCTTCTTTATGCCATGAAATTAAGGATGGATCTATGAAATAAATTTAGGGTCGTCCTTAGGGATGTTCCTTGCGACTAATTTCCCCGTTTACTAAATGAAAATTCTAATTAAGACTAGTCGACTAGTCTAAAAAAAGGAAAAAACACTCAGAAAACAGTCAAAATTTAGCACAATTTATTGTTAAGTACTTGAAACATTGTCCCAAAAAATATTGTGTGCATTAAGAGTCCTTTGAAGCCTTTAATCACAATCTTCAACAACCATGTCAGATTTTAATGCCACTGTGCGAGACACTTTGTGCTGTGCGGTATGAATGTGAACATGATGGCAACTCAGTCAAAAGTTAACCACTAAAGTAACATCTAATATAAATAAATGGCCTCTGAAATGTGGGGCACATTGAGCCTTGTAGATTATCTGACAGAAATTCTAGCAATTCACTTTAAAGTTAATAAAACAACATCTAAATTATAGTTAAATTTCAGCTGAAATGAGAAGTATTTTGCTCCATACATGAATAAAACACTAATTGGTTTAGTCGACTAATGTTTCTGGTTCCGACTAGCGAGGGGGCGGACGTTTAAATCATTTAGACATCTAATCACGAGCATCCCTACACAGTATTCCAGCCTGCTTCTCCAAACTGGGGGCATGCTGACTGACATCTACTGTATACAATAAACTCAGTATGGACAAGTAGCTCAAACAACACCAATTTACATTGCATGTATTTGACAAATCAATGGATTTATTTGGCAAATTAATGAACTATTCATGATATGGTAAAAGATTAGTTTCTATTTACAAATGACACGGTAAATACAACTGAGCAAATAACCCCAATGTTTCAATTTTATTCCCATTAATTCCCATGGAAACTTTCCACCTTGAATATTTCCATAATTTTGCACACACTCCAATTTGCGAAAACAATATGTCAACTGATGTAAATAAATAAATACATACATACATATAACAATTACATTCATCATAGGTATATAATTGATTTCAAGACCAAAACATGAGGAGAGCTGAGAGCAGTCGTGCAGTTATACTGTGTTTAAGTCAAAGCAGTCACACTAGCTGTCGCCAAACATGTTATCTCATCATAATGTCCTTCACATTAATGTTTCCTCAAAACACTGCTGAGTCCAGTTGATAATGCCTGTGTGGATATGTAGATGGACTTGATGTTCAATGTTTTAACTTTTATCTCTGTTTCAGCTGATTCTGACACAACTGGTAAGTCATCAAAGAAATCTCATATTTACTTAAAAGTAGCAGAGAAGCATTGCAGTATAACCAAAACCACTATTTTTTTCTTTCATCTTTTTTCTTTACAGGCAATAATGGAAATAGCCTGGCTCTGGGGTTGGGTATTGGTTTGACACGTAAGTTTCAACTTCATCCTTTAACAGTAGATCAAGAATGTAAAGAGATAATGTTGACCCAAATAAGATCATTCTGTCCACAGAATAAAAATATGGGTAATTAAAGTAGACCGTAAAGTTCTGGAGAGGGCACCATGTTCTTATTTGGGTCAACTAATAACAAAGAATATACTCATGTAGTAAGGGCTGTGTTTCATTTTGTCATTTGACTGTGGTTTGTGTTTTGTACATGATATCCATTTTGCCATGGAATGTGCATGTAAGGCTAAATAATATCAAATTTATATTCTCACAAACAAAGAGCAGAGGTAATTTAAGAAGCACTTTCATAAAAAAAGTTTTTGGGATTACCAGTCTAACACTTCTAATGGCATTTAAATGACACTACATTTGTTGGCCTCATGGCCTGTCATTTTTACGTCATCGTCTTCAAACATCAATTTTGTTTTTCTTATCAAAATAGTTGTCATTGTTGCCCTCGTTTTCTGTGGATGGTATTTCTGTGGAATCCCGTGCATCAAGACAAAGCGAGGGTAACACATTTTATTCATTTATGCCAACTAACCCTTACAATGGCTTTGTCACTGTCGTGGCTTCCTCATCTTTTGTTCACATCTCAGTGCCATTAAGTGTTGCATGTTGAAGTTGTGTGCACTGTTGACTAAGGGTTTTCTCTACCACACAGTGTCAACGTTGTCATTGAGGGGCGCTGTAGTAAGCCCTCAAAGCACTTAGTAGAAAGCCACAAGTAAGGTCATCGTAAAGTCATTGTCTAGTATGCCATTTAAATTTTATATAAAATGTGATGATATAGTATCCCATAAAAGGTCATAATACAGCATGTCATAGTATGCCATAAAAATGTGATAGTATAACATGTAATTAAAAAGAGTGATATAGTATGCCAGCAAAATGTCATAAAAAGTTACAGTATAGTATAGTATATCATAAAAAGTTCTTAAAAAAATATAGTATAGTTTGCCATTAAAATTTCATAAAAATGTTATTGTATTGCATAAAAAAGTCATAGTTTAGTTTGCCATTAAAAATGCCATAGTATAGTAATCCATAAAGAAAAAAAATCCATAAAGTATGTAATAAAAAAATATGTAATATGTCACAAAAATGTCATAGCATAGTTTGCCAAAAAAAAATATAACAATGCCATAGTAAAGCATGTCATAAAAATGTCCATGTGCAGTATGCCATTAAAAGGGTTGTAGTATAGATTGTCATAAAAATGTCATAGTATGTCTTTAAAAAAACATTAAAATTCCATTGTATAGTAGGTCAATCATAAAAAATGTATAGTATGGTATGTCATAAAAATGGCTTAGTAAAGTATGTCAAAAAATATATTTAAGCCATAGTATGCCAGTAAAATGTAAAAAAAAAAACAAAAACATGAAAATGTCATAGTATAGTGTGCCATAAAGAAAATCAGAAATGTCAAAATACCATAGTATAGTATGCCATAAAAACTCATTTTAAAAAATGTATCACATAACATGTCATAAAAATTGTCATAGTATGCCAAAAAAAACAGAAAAAAATGTCATAGTATAGTATGCAAAAAAAAGGATAGCATGTCATTAAAAAGGTCATAGCCATTAAAATGTAATAAAAATGATATATTATTGCATAAAATTGTCATAGTTTGCCATTAAAATTATTATAGAATGCAAAAAAAATCTGAAAAAATGTCATAGTACGATTAAAAAAATATATGTTATGGCATAAATTAAGTCATAGTTTGCCATTACAATGTCATAAAATGTCATATTAAAGTATGTCAAAAATGTCATAGTATAATATGCTGAAGAAATTACAAAAATGCCATATTATAGTGTGCCATTAAATGTAATTTTAAAAAAGGCATGGTATAGCATGTCACAAGAATTGCCATAGTACAGTATGCCATAAAAAAATCATAAAAATTTCATAATGTAGTTTGTCATTAAAAAAAGTAAAGAAAAAAGAAAGCAAAAAAAAAAGTTTAGTATGCAAAAAAAGTCATAGTATGGCATAAAAAAATGTCACAGTACAGCATGTCATTAAAAAAAGTCATAGTATACTATGCCATTAAATTTTCAATAAAAATGTCATCTCACAGTACGCCATAAAATGTAAGAAAGAAGTCTGTAGTTCTTGTTTGAAATTGACTTTCCGGTTTATTCGGTTTGTACATTGGCTATTTTTATCTGCAAAACAGGAAGTAGTGGTTTATTGTATGTCTTGGTTCTGGAAACGTTTCTGAGCAAACACATTTCATTTCCTGTTGGGGTAGAATTGTTTGTGTGAAAAGCCTAACTCTTCAAACGTCTTCAAAATTGAAGATTTGAATAAATCCTGCCACACTGCTTCTTATAAAGTTTTGAAACTTAAGTATGCGTGAAGGTTTCACAGCTTGGGCCATGAGTCAATGAAATATGATGACAACGTGACAAGAGTGTTTGGTGCTATTACTGTCCTGTATTTCTTTCTGCAGAAGAGGTGCGTGCTCTTCACATTTGTATTCTATGTAAACAATGTGAAGAGCCCATACACTGCGTGAACATTATGGGGTTTATTTTATTTTTATTTTTTTACAGTGATCTTGTTTTAAATTTTGGAACACCAGGAATATGAAACTGCTATTTGAACTTTAGTGCTCTCTATGATGCTGTGGTGACCTGTTGATTTCTGCTGTTAGAAATGAACAGGTAGCATTTTGCATCCCAAAGTAACACCCACACAAATTAGGACATTTGGGCTGTGGTGTGTGTGTGTGTTTGCGAGGTCTCCTTCAATGGGCAGTGTGTGGTGTTGTGGGTGAAGAGGCTGCTTCTCTGATCTTCCTTAAACTTGCTTCGCTTCCTATCTACCTCGTCGTGCCTAAGCTGTAACGTTGACCAGTCATTATTGGATTACAGCTCTCGGAGCGGCATTCCTGACAATGTGGTTCCAAAAGATGGAGAGGATGTAGCACTCTAGGTAAGAGGATGGACTGCCGAGGGCGCTTGAACTCGTTTATGCCAAATGAACAGATAATGATGTGATGACCAGGAATCGTGATAATGTAGGCAGATGCTTGAATGAATGAATTTCATACTGTCTGTCTGTGATGTTTCACTAATGTTTTCCTCCCTTTCTTTATAATTTTATAGCTGCTAACTAACCTGTCGGACCACTTCCTGTGCTACTTCTCCTAAAACTCATCACTGTCATACACTTTGCCTAAACATGTCTAATTTAGATTACTTTTCTTTGCTTCTTTTTTTCTCTGTAGTAAGCATCGCGGTCCTGCTGGTCCAATGTTGCTGGGGTTGAAAAATGTCGGTTGAGAAGAGGAACGTCACAGGACTTGTCCTGGAATGTACTTGTGCTGTCCACGTGCACGTGGATGCCACAGACTGAAGAAACTCCATGGCCATTAGTATCAAAAGCCGACGTGATATTCAGAAACCTCAACAAATTGAGCTCAATCCTATGTTTATGCTTTAAGCGGATTCTGTAGTTAGTCCACAATAATCTTAATCTTTGACAGGTCACTCATAACTAGGTTTTTTTTCTCTATTTTGCATAACTCAAATCAGTAATGTCTGGGATGCCTTCCCTTTCCTTGACAGCATCACAGCAGCATGTTTCAGTGCTGTTATAATGAAGGAATGTGATTTCATGTTTATCAGAAGCCTGAACGCTCTGTATGAATATAAATGTTTGCACTGTAGCTCAGAGCACAGCTCAGCCTGACCAGTATAGCTCAGCTATACCAGTGGCTTAAAACAAGCAAAATCAGTTAGGAATATATGCATGCTCGACCTTAAACACAGCTGGTAGGGTTAAATTATTTTTGTTTAGACTAGAAACATTCAAAAATCAAAAGGCCTTGTTTACACCTGGTATTAACATGCGTTACAATTGGATCACAGGTGGGGAGCTCCAAGTACAGGTATAGTGCGTTGTCAATGCGTCCTGAGATTTAATCAAATGGCTGCATATGGCTACATTTTTTCAGCAGTGTGTATAGTATTTTGTCGCATTGAAGGACCTTCTGCTAAGACGACATCCTTGATTATCCGACTCTCCCTACCAGATAAGTAAACTTTCTGTTGCTGCCATTACACAAGTTAGATGCAGTGCTGAAGGACCATCTCTGGAGCAGCTTTCTTCCCAGCAGTCAGTTCAACATGTGCCCAGGTAGCAAAAGCTAACACAGCAACAACTATCAAACAAACTGACACCAACACCAAAACAGCTCGACTCTCTCTGAAACTGGTTGGGTAACGTTAGCATGTGATGCAGACAGATAGCCCCGTCACTGAGTGTGTGTGTGTACGTGTGTGTATGTGTGTGTGTGTAAGCAGACTCTTAGCAGCTATCCCCAGTGTGGAGCTTGTGATCTTGCAGCATGACAAACCTCAGTCCGGTTAAAAACACATTTGATATTTGCAAAACAGAAGTGATGTTCGTGTTTATTTGATGTTAAGAGTGTGGAAGTAAGAGCCGATCACAAGTGGTCACTTGAGAAGTATGCTGAGAAGCGTTGTAATGCCAAGTGTGAACAGACAGACATAGCTGTCCTCTTAGGATCGGATCACCCAAGACGCACATAATACCAGGTGTAAGGACGGCCATAGTTCAACAGTTTTAGTTTATGCTTTAGAACACAGTGGATTTGCCTGTAACTATTTCGTATATCAGAAATGACAACATTTGTGTAGCTGAAATAGTTAATCCACCAGCAAAATCACTCACTCATATAGCCGATAAACCCGTCCTCCCATCATGTAGATTCAACTTCCACCTTTCCAGAGATAACAAAGGGATCTATAAAACTGTCCCAAACATGTAGTGCCTGAGCAGAAGGCATGCTCTTTATGCCTTAATGCAAATTATCAAGTGTTTGTTAGCTTGTTGTGTGTCAATTGTTGTGCGTTTGTTAATGGAGGCCTAATTATAGGCCTGCCTTAGCTTAATGCTAATGCTAAATAATTAGCCATGTGTAATGTCATGTTGGGCACATTGGTTTTCATGTCCTGTAGCTTCACCAGCTTTCAAAAAAAGTTTCCCATGACATAAAAATAGAAAAATTAAGTTCTAAATGAGTACATTATTTATTTTCCTCGTAAAGAATTGGTTTTGCAGACGTCTCTTTGCCACTGTCAGTTTGGTATTTGTTCACCCCCACACCACCCAAAAGAAGAGGCAGACTTTAAGTATTGAAATACGGGCTTTGTGTCTGTGTCTTATAAAGATGTATAGACTGTGATCTTTGAAAAAAATTGCACTTGCCTGGCTTTTTATCTTTATTTATTAAAATAAATTTGTGTCAGAACATTTCCAGAGTTTTGTATGATTTTGAGGCAGTCAGAAAAGTGCTATTTTGGCACTATCTTTTGTATTAATTAATGAAATAAACATAATCATGGACTGTGCTTTGAATTTTCTTCTGTAATTCAACCATTCTCTTACACACCGGAGGCTAGGTTTGACCAATCATGAGGAGCACTGGGAGATATGGACAGCGGGGATTGGACTACAAACCCTGTGATTAGCAGATAACCTGCCCTGCCTCCTGAGTCACAACTGACCAGACAATAGTGTGTTCACAGTGTTTTCTTAATGTGCATACGTATGAAATAGAGAAGTTTGAAAGACTCACTTTAGGGCCTTTATTGAAAGTTGTAAAGGCAGCAGCATGGTGCAGTGGTGAGCACTGTTACCTCACAGCCACAGGATTGTAGGTTCAAGCTGACCAATGGGAAGGGATGCCCTCATGTTTGTTTCTGATGGCCGATGGGACAATTCTTATACTTCCCAGCTGAAATATGAGAGATCCCAAATTTTTTAGACTAATCATGAGAAATAATTAAAGTGGAAACTATCTACAGCATAATTTATCAGACTGCAGACCAAAGGTGGACCATGGAAACATCTTGTATAGCTCTTGAACGTTGATTACTATTGCATAAAAAGGTCATAATTTTGTATGCCAAAGTGTAATCATAAAATTGTCCTTGAAAATTATGTCAGAAAAATCATACAAAACTGCCATAATATGTTGTGAAAACATCATAAAAAGTTTCTAGTATGTAACCAAAAATCATAAAAAAAAGGTTATAGTTTAGTATGTTGTCAAAATAAAGAATTAAAAAAGTTATGATATAGTGCCACAGAAATGTCATATCATAGTATGTAACAACAACTTTTAAAAAATGAAATAGTATGCTATGTCATTAGAAAAAAACATTTACAAATGTCATGGTAAAGTGTGTCATAAAAACATCTTAAAAATTGTTACAGTATGTCATCCAAGATCATAAGAAAAACCTCTTTTTCATAGTTTTGGACATCATACTATACTATGACCTTTTTTTCATAGTTTTGGATGACATACTATACTATGACCTTTTTTTCATAATTTTGGACGACATACTATACTATGACTTTTTATCATCATTTTGGACGACATACTATACTATGACTTTTTATCATCATTTTGGACGACATGCTATACTATTAAGATTTTTCATGATTTTGGACGACATGCTATACTCTGACCTGTTACGCCCCACCCTTGGGCGGCCCTGTGGGGCTAACAAAACTCATCACTGACCCAATAATATCCACATAAACACCTTTAAAACAGTCAAATCCATGGGATTTATTAGAATGAAAACAAGTAGACAAGACGACAAAAACTCCCACGGTGAAAGGCAGCAGGACCAGCAGTCCCCACACCAGAGCCTCTCTCGTCTGCTGCTGGCACAGGAGCCCTTAAGCACCTTCCCCATGCCAGGTGTGCTGCACCTCGTTAGGTAATGCAGCACACCTGGGCAGATCTGCAAAGGAGGGGAAAAAGGGACAGCAGCATAGAACACACACACAGCTGTAAAAGACATTTTTTCATGATTTTGGACGACATACTATACTGTGACTTTTTTTCATCATTTTGGACGAAGGACTATATACTATGACTTTTTTTCATCATTTTGGACGACATACTATACTATGACGTTTTTTCATAATTCTTGAAGACATACTACACCATGACGTTTTTTCATGATTCTGGACGACATACTATCATTCAATCAATTTTGTTTCTAAAGCCCAATATCACAAATCAGAATTTGCCTCAGAGGGCTTTACAGCATACGACATCCCTTTGTCCTTTGGACCCTCGGACGAAAAAAGTCATAGTATAGTATGTCGTCCAAAATGATGAAAAAAAAGTCATCGCATAGCATGTCATCCAAAATCATGAAAAAAAGTCATAGTATAGTATGTCGTCCAAACTCATGAAAAAAAGTCATAGTATAGTATGTCGTCCAAAATCACGAAAAAAATCATAGTATAGCATGTCGTCCAAAATGATGAAAAAAAGTCATAGAAAAGTATGTCATCCAAAATCATGAAAAAACGTCATAGTATAGTATGTCGTCCAAAATCATGAAAAAACGTCATAGTATAGTATGTCGTCCAAACTCATG